TGAGTTTGAGCCCCATGTTGGGCCCTGTGCTGGCAGCTCAGAGCCTGTAGCCTGCTGTGGAGTCTGTGTTTCCCTCTCTCTCTGCCCCTCCCCACCTGGTGCTCTGTTTCTCTCTGTCTCTCAAAAGTAAATAAATGTAAAAAAAAAAAAAAGTAATTAAATAACTAATCATATTATATATTATTTTGTAAACTGATTCTTTTCCTCTCAGTGTATCTTGAAAATACTTTATATTCCTTAACTGTTTTTCTAAAACTTAGCATTTAATGATTACTTTAGTATTCCCTTTTATGGATGTTTTATAAATTATTGAAGAAATCAGTTATTGAGCAGTAATGTTCAAACTGCCTGAGCAATTCTTTCAACAAGCATTCTATTGTTGGCTATTCCTTACCCAACTTTTCACTTCATAGTCCTTTCAGAGACAGGAACACTTAGAATATGGCATTGACTTTTTACCAAGTGGGATACAGGTGAAGCATTTGGCAGAATTTCCGATGGATTCTTTACAATATGAAGTAGACCATAAAATTTGATTTTAACTGCCATTTCTTTCTTGCTTTTGTCCCCCACATCACTGTGGAGAGGAGGGTGATGTTGGGGCTCCAGGAAATTGAGGCTATAGGTTTCTGGAGATTGGGCAATCTTATCAATTTTTTTGGTCATTTACTAAGGCATATGTAAACTGATGGAGACTCATGTTCTGCGTGACTGTGATCTCTATCAGTTAACCATTTATTTTCTTCCCTTCCCTTTGTTCTTGGACAGCCAGAAGGGCCTGAGGAATATCATACATATCCCCCCTGGGTGGGGGGGGGTGTTTATGGGGTGTTAGCTTGTGTTATACTCCCTCATCATATACATGTATGTTTATGTAAGTAGTTTTCCTGACAAATATACAATTACACTACAAAATTATTTCTTAACCTACCTTCTACCAGCAATTTGTAGTGACCATCTTCCCCTGACATCAAATAAGAATTTTACCTTCAGTTTTAGTGTTTTTTTAATTTAAATTTATTTTATTATTTTAAAAGTTTACTTACTTATTTTTTTAGTAATTTTACACCCAACATGGGGCTTGAACTCATGACCCAGAGATCAAGAGTTGCACACACTTCCCACTGAGCCAACCAGGTACTCTCATTTTTCATGGGTTTTTAGTGCCAGTGTATGAATGTACAGTAATTTATCTAACCTGCTAAAGCATATTTAGGTTCTTTCCAGCTTTTTTGGTCCCATTATAAACACTTCCCACACATCATTTTACATGATACCTTAAGTGTCCATTTCCCCACAACCTTAGTAGTAAGTAGTATCATCAATTTTTCAAATCTACTCATCCAATTCCTTTAATATGTATTTCCTTAGTTATTATTACTATTTAACTAATGAGTCATTTCTACTTTCTAGAGAATTAGCCATGGTCAGGTTTCACAAATTCAATTTCCCCAGTCTGGGTTCCAAGAGAGATGGGTTGATAAATGAGATCATGCAGGCAGTATTGATAATTCTGAACAGACAAATGGTGACTGATGAGCTCTGGGAATGGTAGTTTGCCCTCCCCTTAGAAAGGGATCCCAGTGTGCAAGTATAGTTTTGTCATAATAAAGACCACTGGCATGGTCTATGCACGTAGTTCTCAAATAGTGACATTTGGACAAGCAACATCAAGTATCTCTTGGGAACTTGCAAATTCTCAAGCCCAACCCTAAACCCCTACTAAATTCCAAACTTTAGGAGTGAGGCCTTGCAAGCTGTGTTTTAAAAAGCCCTCCAGGGGATTGGTACTCATTATGATAACCTGACAGAAATTTTATAAAATCTGAGGGTGATTTAAAAATCCTGATTCCCAGGTCACACTCTGTACTAATTAAATGGAAGTATTTGAGAGATGTGAGCCAGGCATCAGTATATTTTAAAGACTTGCAGGCAATTCCAGTGTCTAGCAAAGTTTAGGAAATTCTTGTCCATATTATTTTCTGTGTTTATGTTTAGGGAGCCCAGCCACATTCCTGAGTCTTAGAAAGAAGTTCTGGGTTAGATGATGTAACCACTTCTTGGCTGGGAAGGTGAAAATGGAGGGAAATGGATCTGCTCAGGACAGGCCTAGACAGTCCATTCTCAAGTCCAGATCAGCCTTCCTGGGGCAGGGGACTAACTGGAAACCCTCCTGCTGAAGTATCTGGATATTTTGTGCTTCCATGCAAGAGAGTCTCTGTTCTATGTCTGTCCTTGTGCAACTGATTTTCCTGTGGCTTTAAGGACATCTATTTGTCTAAACTACATCCTGCCTCTTACAACTTGTCTGTGTATTGTTGGCGGGAGAGGGCTGTAGGAAGAGTGTAGTAGTGTGACTTTTTAAAATTTGGTTGCTCTGAGGCAATTTTCTTATTATGGCTTCACCTTCTTCCCCCAGCTCTAGCTTCTGTGGACTCGGCTTCTCCAGTAAATGACCTTTGAGGAAAACTAACCAGTTCTTGCAACTCTAAAATCATGGCTCATGTAAGTTGGTGTTTCTATTTGAATTACTATAATTTTTTCAGGTTATGTGAACATTCTCATTAGATATCCTGAAACTTCTTAGCAGAGCCCCACCCAACAGCTTCTCCCCAGTCTCCCATTCTAGCAAGCGATGGAATCAGGCAGCCCAGGTCCCTTCTGTTTGCCTCTCTCTTCTCCATCCATGTCCATGTGTGTATTGACCAAATTATTCTGCATCTCCTAGGTGTTCAGTCTTTGTCTAGAGCAGAGATAAAATGGGAAGTGAAGTCCGTAGAGGAAATTGTTTGATCTGAGACTCTCAGTACTGGAGAACACTTTAGAGCAGCGCCATCTAAAAGGATTATAATGCAAGTTACATATGTAATTTAAAATTTTCTAGTAGTCACATATTAAAAATATAGAATTAGTGCCTTTAAAAAATTTTTAGAAACAGAGAGAGAGAGAGTGCACATAGTTGGGGATAGAGACAGAGGGGGAGAAAGAGAAACTTAAGCAGGTTCTGTGCTCAGTGTGGAGCCTGATGCGGGGCTCTATCCCACGACCCTGGGATCATGACTTGAGCTGAAACCAAGACTTGGACACTCAACTGACTGAGCCACCAGGCACCCCAAAGAATTAGTGCCTTTTTAAGGCAGCACATCGTCTCATAAAAAGTATAGAATAATATGCGAGGCACTTATGTCATCTTGAACTTTTAGTAGTCACATTAAAAAAGTAAAAAGTAGCATGTACTGTTAATATTTTATTTAACTCAATAAATATATAGCCAAAATGTTATCATTTAAAGTGTAATCAGTATGAAAATTATATTTTAAATTTTTTCTTTCTAAAGTCTATAGTATCAGGTATGTATTTTATAATTACAGCACATCTAAATTGGGACTAGCTACAATTTCAGTGCTCAATAACTACATGTGTCTAAGAATACTGGACATTGCAGCATCAGAGATTTTGTGTAACTTAAAATTTAAATATAACTTAATATACTTATTAATATTACATATTAATATTAAGTATTATTATATATTATTATAAATATTAAGTATTAATAATACTTAAAAATATAGAAATATCTAAATAGAATCATTACTAAGTAACACAAAATGGATACTGTTTAGTAAATTTAAAATATTCAGTAAAGTATTTGTTATAACAAAAAAATGCTAACGATACAATGATGAAGTGAGGTCTGGAAGAAATTCTTTAATTTCAGACAATCTCTACTTTTTAAATTTATTTTTTTAGGTTTTTGAGAGAGAGAGCACACAAGCAGGGGAGAGGGTCAGAGGAAGAGAAAGAACCTCAAGCAGGCTCCACGTTAAGCATGACTCAAAGCAGGGCTCAACATGGGGCTCTATCCTACGACCCTGGGATCTTGACTTTATCAAGAGCCGGACACTTAAGTGACTGAGCTACCCAGGCACCCCCAAGCTCTACTTAAAAAAATTTTTTAACATTTATTTATTATTGAGAGATAGAGACAAAGCATGAGCTGGGGAGGGGCAGAGAGACAGGGAGACACAGATTCCAAAGCAGGCCTCAGGCTTTCTTTGTTCCCAAACTCTGCTTTTTAAAATACAGAAATTTTGGGGCGCCTGGGTGGCTTAGTTGGTTAAGCGTCCGACTTTCGCTTAGGTCATGATCTCGCGGGTCATGGGTTCGAGCCCCGCATCGAGCTCTGTGCTGACTGCCAGCTCAGAGCCTGGAGCCTGTTTCAGTCTGTGACTCCCTCTCTCTCTGACCCTCCCCTGCTCACGCTGTCTCTTTCTCTCTCCTAGAAATAAATAAAACATGAAAAAAAATTTAAAATACAGAAATTTTATGGTTCATTTGGAAGGAAAGAAATTCATCAAAAAGTTTTTTCTAATCCTTAAAGAAAAAGGAGTTCGAATAAAGCACATTTATTGAGAATTTTTTAGGCCCACTTAAGCCCATTGCAAGCAGTGTTTTTATGTTCACTATTTAAGTTAATTGTGAAATTCTGATTAATTTATGTCAACATATCTAGGAATAAATAAAATTAGGTTTCCCATAGTACATTGAAAATTTTGTCTCTAGCAGTGGTTGGCAAACTACAGCTCATGACCCAAATTCATCCCTTGGCCTGTTTTTATTTATTTAAAAAAATTTTTTTTAACGTTTATTTTTGACAGAGAGAAACACAGAGCATGAGCAGAGGAAGGGCAGAGGGAGGGAGAACAGAATCCGAAGCAGGCTTTAAGCTCTGAGCTCTAGGCTCTGTCAGCACAGAGCCCTGTGTGATGCTCAAACACAAACCATGTGATCATGACCTGAGCCAAAGTTGGACACCTAACTGACTGAGCCACCTATGCACCCTCTTGTCCTGTTTTAATACAGCCTTTGAGCTAATTGTGTTTCGAAAGAATTGTTTAAAAAAAAGAAGGGAAAGGGGAAGGATATGAAACAGACCATATGTGGCATGCAAAGCTTAAATATTGGCCCTTTACAGAAATAAATAATTTTAGAAATAATACATGTGTTTGTCATTTCAGCATTTGGTGATGTTCAGAGATGTGGCTGTAGATTTTTCTCAGGAAGAGTGGGAATGCCTGAACTCATATCAGAGGAATTTGTACAGAGATGTGATATTAGAGAACTATAGCAACTTGGTGTCAGTGGGTAAGCTCATCTGTGTCATATAATTCAGAAATTCATAAGACTGAATTTCACAGCTGTCTTTCTAGAAACTAGCTGAATATTTTCTTTGTATTTGGGAGTAGGCACCTTCAGCCATTAAGTATTTAAATAGTTCCTTCAGCTTCCCCCATAATTCAGTGACCTTTATGTCTTTCTTTGCCTTCTCTGTAATTGCCTCTCTTTAATGACAGATAGATGTATTCTGAGACACTTATAGCAAAACCAGTTATCAAAGAAATCTGTTTTCCTATTGCTATAGATGGTCTATTATTTGTTAATTCACCTGAATGTGAGTAGGAAGACCAGTGGTATCCGGCTCCACATATCTATTTAAAAAGCTTGTACAACATAGTGTTACTGGGTTGAATCAAGTTTGTTAAAAGTCAAGTGGACACATTCAATTTACCACAACAGATATACTACCTTTTAAATGATTTATACTTAAAAATTTTAAATGCATGAATTTTGCATCTAATATTGAATGAATATCCTGGCAAGAAACTAATTATTTTCCTCTTAGCAAAATAGCAAAAAATATCAAATAAACGTCCCTAATAAGTATGCATAGTGTCTACTGTGTACTCAGCACTCATCCAAACACTTTACATTTATTAAATCAAAGCTTACAACAGTCCTATGGGTAGGTATAGTTATTTCCTTTTTACAACAGAAAACTAAGGCCATAGTGATGCAGGTAGCAGAGGCAGGATTTGAAAATCAGTGTTCTCAAATCATTACTTTCTCAAAAAAAATCATTCCTTCCTCTCAAGAGACAGAGTCTGTATGAGTTTAAATTAAAATAAGACAATGTTCCTACTTCTGTTCTTGTTATTCCTTGTGATACTGAAGTAACACTAATATGAATGTCTTTCAATCCCATTACTCCACTTCATCCTGCAGGCTTAATCAAGTAAATTCTTCATTACATTCCCTTGTATTTTTTTAAGCAGGATGTTCCATTTCTAAGCCAGATGTGATTACCCTACTAGAGCAAGGGAAGGATCCATGGATGGTTGTGAGGGCTGAGAGAAGAAGAAGGAGCCTAGGTGAGTAAGTGTTAATCAGGCAGAGATACATGGTTATGGCATGGCACAGCCTGCTGGAAGGAAGTGTACACCATAGATATTGATAACGCATAAAAGCCCTGAAACCTGGGAAGAAAACTTAGATCTCAACATGCGCCACCAAAGAAATTTCATCTATACCTTGGCTTACCATTTGTTTCTTCACTTCTATTTCCTTCTCATTTCAGTGGGGGAAAGCTTTCTTCCCTAATTACAACCATCTTTTTTTTTTTTAATAAGGAAATTTTTTTTTAATGTTTATTTATTTATTTTGAGAAAGAGGAAGAGGGAGAGAGCATGAGCAGGGGAGGGGCAGAGAGGCAAGGAGAGTGAAAATCCCAAGCAGCCTCCATGATTAGCACTGGGCTTCATCTCACAATCGTGAGATGATGATCTGAACTGATACAAGAGTTGGGTGCTTAATGGAATGAGCCACCCAGGTACTCCTGTAATGACAACCATTTTACCTGTATTTTGGATCTAATTTGTTTCTAATTCATCTTTTGTATATGTATTTCTTCATTGCTCTTTTCATGAAGTTTACATTGTAGTAGGGAAGTCATACAATAAACAAACAAATGGGTTACCAAATATCATAAAGTGATTAAGTATTATGAAGAAAAGTAAGTACGGTAAGAATATAGAGAATTATGATGGGTGAATTGGATAACTTTAGATAGGGTGGTCAGAGTACAGAAACCAGTTTGAAGAGGCTCTAGCTGGTCAAAGATGGAATTATTTGACTATACACATAACTATAGCTTGTTATAACACATAAAATACGCTTAATTCCATAAATTCTTAGTGATACTAATAGTAAATTGCTCACCATTGGAAACTACTACAGATATAACTCATTTGGAAAATATAAATATAAAGGAAAAGAAATATTCTGCACTCCTTATAAGAACTATAAGCTACCAATAGCTTATAAGTACCAATAACTATAAGTACCAATAGCTATTAGACAGAGGGATGTCTTTCTTTTTTTTTAATGTTAATTTATTTTTGAGAGAGAGAAAGACAGTATGAGTGGGGAAGGGGCAGAGAGAGAAGGAGACACAGAATCTGAAACAGGCTCTAGGCTCTGAGCTATCAGCACAGAGCCTGACATGGGGCCCAAACTCACAGACTATGAGATCACGACCTGAGCCAAAGTCAGACACTCAACTGATTGAGCCACCCAGGCTCCCAGGTGCCCTGAGGGATGCTTTTCTTAATAAAAGTATTCAGTGAATAAATGAAAGATGGCAGAATTAGAGTATTACCATTTTGGAACCCATAATGAACAACTGAATCTAGGCATTGAACATCAATACTGATAACATCACAGAAATAGAGACAACCAGACATACTTCTTCTAATGAAAGGACACATTATCACCTATGAAGTTACTTTGCCAATAAAATTGGTCCTAAGTCTGATCAAGTGTCTAAAGCAAGCTACCAGTTTATGGGAAGAAGATAGAGGAACATGTTCTACTGACTCTTGGGAATATGTGACTTAAAATTATGAAATGGGAAACACTCTGGGGTCAAAAACAGTTTCTTCAACAAGTAAATTACAAGGAAAATTGAAAGATTACAGGAGAACTTGTAGGTTAAATGACACGTAAAAGACCTGTCAACTAGTTGTATTCTATGGACTTTTGGGGGGATAAATTTACTATTATTAAATTACTTAAAACTTTATCTTTGAGACAGTTGGAAGTATGAACACTGATTTTTTTATAATCTTAAAGAATTAGTGTTCATTTTTTAGGTTTGGATAATGGTATTATGATTAGAAATAAATCCTGTAAGTAAAAAAAAAATGAATATATGGGATTTGTGTCGAATAATATGAAGAGAGTGGATTGAGGTGTGCATTGGCCTGGGTTGGGAAGGGGTTGGTGGTTTTTGAGGCTGGGTCATAGATGCATGGACATTTATTAAACTCTTCTACTTTTGTGTATGTTAAAGATGCTCTGTAGTAAACTTTTATTTTGAAGTTTTTGGGAAATAAGAAGAAAATGAGAGATGAGACAGTGATAAAAATATATACAACTCTTTGGAGGAATTCTGCCATAAAAGTAGACACATGGGATATAGGAAATGTCTTCTACTATACGAGGTATTCAAACATATTAAATGCTGAAGGGAATGATTTCAAAGAAATGAAAATTGACGGAGTAGAGAGATAGATAATATTGTAAGGAATGGCTTTTGGTAGATGGGAAGGAATAGGAGCCAATTTATGAAGAAAACCCATGCTTATGACAAGGATATGGACACAGGTTGTTTGAATAATGTGAAGGGGAGAATACATATTTTTCTTTCAGTTGCTTCTAATTCCTTGTTTAAGTAAGCAGTAAGATTACCAGCAGAATGTGAAGATTGGTATTTTATTGGGATTCAGTATGGATTATTTAGTATTTAGTCTGTATTGATTCTCAGAATTACAATTCTGTGGTCATAGGGTTTTAATATTTACAGATTTCTTGATACATTGACCCTGGTGTTAATATAACCAATGCTGCCTCTGTCATAAATATTCTGTATTCCATATTATCTTGTATCAACAACAAAAAAAGGTAATGAAAGACATTATACCTCAGAAAACAAACTAATTTTGTGGCCAGGTAATTACTCCTCATTTTCTTTTTAATTTAAGCTGATACCTTGAAAATGGAAAGAACATTTCTCCTTTTATATTGATCTATGATGGGCTAATATTGTGTTTTCACATTTACATTGTTTACTAAAGTTCTTGATTCAGTAGAATCCAAGCTAGTGTTTGGTTTATTAATTTTAAATAGTTAAATATTTTACATATGTCTTAAAAATTGGAACATTAAAATTTCTTAACCATAGGCCAGTCTTTTGATGTTTAGTTTGACCTTTTGTTTCATTGTAGGTCCAGCCAATTTTTTCTTGTTTAGATCACATATATATTACATAGGCTGTTATTTCTAGTTTCAGTTTATTTAAAGTAAAACAAGAACCTAAAGTATTCATCTTTGTTTTTATAGAAATGATTGTCTTAGTAGCTTGCAAAGATAAGAACTGGCATAAACAGTATCACTGACTTTTTATTTACAGAAATCATAACGTTACATCTCAGTGTTCACACTGTAGAGTAGTTTCCTAGGTGAGAATTTTCAGCATGCCACGGTCTTAATCTGGTATGTCTTTTAATTGGTGGGGACATATATGAGAGTCTCAGGTTCACTATATCCACATTGGAAATGTTTTGGTTTTTAATGAAAACCTTTAAGTTTTATAGGATATAATCATGTATACATATAATTTTATATTATAAATATAAATTATATACATATATATAATTTTATTAAGTAATCTCTATACCTAATATGGGGCTTGAACTTATAACCCTGAGATAAGTGTTGCATGCTTCAACAACTGAGCCAGCCAGGAGCCTCTATAGGATAAATTTTATAACTTGTTCTTACTTTGTGTGGTATGAGTCTGTGTATGTAAATATAGACACTTTGCCTTAATTTTGTGTATACTTATATTTATTTTGTGCATCGTCTGCTCATCTCCTTTATCCTATTTTTCCATTGTTTAATATTTCTTATGTCAATTTGTGTGAGCATTTATGCTGTGAATACTTTCTCATTTTCTTACAAATATTTTTGGCTTTATTTTTATTTTAACTGTGACTTTCCTGCTGTTAAATTTTTTATGACTTTCATTTTCCATTACTGGTTTTTACTTTTTAATTTATAAGTAAATCCTTTGAAATTACCATTTATAACGTTTGTCATACCCTTATAGCTGCCTACTTATTTACTACGGTTATTCAGCTAATTATTAGTCATTTAATATAACATTTATATCTTATTTGTCTTAATGAAGGCTTAAATTGACTTTTCCCTAAAGATTCTTACAAAGTTGCCAAAATTTTTTATTCCTTTTTTGGGGTAGGGAAATGGAGACAGAGAGAAGGGGGAGAGGGAAAGTGTGAGGATGGAAGGAACTAAGGGGAGAGGGAGGGAGGAAGACACACAGATTTCATAGCGATAGTTTCTTTTTTTTTTTAATTTTATGTTTTATTTATTTTTTAGAGAAAGAGAGAGAGACAGAGTACCTGTGGGGGAGGGGCAGAAAGAGAGGGAGACACAGAATCCAAAGCAGGAGCCAGGCTCTGAGCTGGCAGCACAGAGCCTGACGAAGGGCTCAAACTCCTGAAGCATGAGATCATGACCCGAGCCGAAGTCAGACGCTTAACCAACTGAGCCACCCAGGCGCCCCTATAGTGGTATTTTCTATGATCATTTACCTGTCTCTGCTCATATTTTGTCTATACTATTTAAATCATGTTACTTTTTAATGTTTTTGGTAATCCTTTTCTAAGCAAACTTACTGAAACATAAATACATACCAAAAAAGCCCAGAAATCATAAGTAAACAGCTCACTGAATTTTCACAAAGTGATCACACCCATCTGACTAGCACCAACATAGAGATTTCCTACGATATTAGAAGCTCCCTCCTGGGGCGCCTGCCTGGCTCAACTGGAAGAGCATGTGACTCTTAATCACAGGGTCCTGAGTTCGAGCCCCAAATTCGATGTAGAGTACTTAAATAAATGAAAGTCTCAAAAAGAAAAAAAAAAGAGAAGCAGCAGCTCCCTCCTAACTCCATACAGTCATTTCTCCCCACAAAAACTAACCACTATCCTGACTTTTAACAACTCCATAGATTAGTTTTACTGTTTTTGAAACTTATAAAAATGGAACCATACAGTATATGTTCTTATATGCCTGGCTTTGTTTACTCACCATTATTTTTGTAAGATTGATCCATGTTGTTGCATAGATTATTCATCCTCCTTACTATACAGTATTGTGTTGTTCCTGTGTTCTAGTTTTTAAAAATACCATTTCCTTTTTGAAAAGTAATGAACTCTTAATTGCAAAATTTTTGAGAAAATACACATTTGAAAAAAACATTTCTTTGCTCAGAATTTTATTAGCATGTTAGTATGGTATAAAACTGTTCTTATGCTTGAAAAATCACTAAAATACTTTCTAGGTAGAACCTAAATGGCATTGGCTTTGAGGACTGTAGGGAGAATATAGGGAAGGGTATGAAGGAACAAAACAGGCCGTTTGTAAGATAAATGTGTGTAGTTATATAAGCTAAAATAAACATGTAAGTAGAGCTTCTTGTTAACCTTCTGAAAAAAGGCAAAGTTTACTCATGACTATGCAAAGTAGAAAATGAGCTGTAGTGGAGATATCTAAGTGATGAAAGTAGACAGTTGGAAAGATGATCAGATATGAAGACATCACCATTTTTCGTTTATATACTTGAGATAGATTAGATGTGCTTTTGTTTCCCATCGCTATAGGAAGTGATAAAAAAATATTTACCTCAGTGTAATAAGGTATAAGATTAGAGGCAAGAGAACATGTGTAATAACTGTTAACCAATTATGAGAATTTAACAATAGTTACTATAGGCTATGAGTTTGTAATTCAATGATAAATGAAAGGTTGCTTCTGCCCTTGGAAGGGTTTAAGGTAAAAAAATAAAGAGAATTTTAAAATGGGAAAATTAATGAATATGTAACAACAAAATAAAAAAAGTGTTAAGAAACAAGGAACAAGTTACTGGGATAGAAAATAAAATATATAAATTAGATGAAGTCAGCATGGGTCTGATTTTTAACATCGTACCTAAAGGATGAAAGGAACCCAATATGTAGAGAATGCAAGTTGGCATTCCTGGAAATTTCAGTTGTTAGTGAAAAGCTCTAAGAAATGAAAAGATTGTGACATATTCTAGGAGCAGAAAGGAGACTAGTGGGATAGGAATATAGCGAACAAAGTGGGCAGTGGCTTGAGATGATATCTTATGGTAAACAAAGGCCATGTTATTCATGGTAAGAAGTTTGTACATTATTTAAAAAGCGTAGTCATTAAAAATTTAAAGATTCTCAAACTTTGATGAGATTTTCAGCTAATTTACTTTAATTGAGCTTTATTTTCTATTATAAAGTTTTTTATTTGCTTGTTAACTTTTTCTAGAATAAGAAGATAGCCTGATAAAATATGATATAAGATATAAATATCTTATTTTCTTTCAGACTTAGAATCCAGATATGACACTAAAAAGTTATTTCAAGAAAAGGATATTTGTGAAATGAATTTATCTCAGTGGGAGATAATGAGAAGAATTAGAAGTTGTGGCCTTGAAAACTCCTTTATCAGAAAAGATTATGAATATAAAAAGTTTGAAGGACAAGAGAATTCTCAAGAGGGATATTTCCAGCAAGTGAAAAAAACCACCTCTGAAAAAATGCCCACTTACAGAAAACTCACATCTCTTACTCTGTATCAGAGTATCCATAATAGAGAGAAACCCTATGAATGTGGGGATTGTGGGAAGGCCTTTAGAGTACGCCAACAGCTTACTTTCCATCAGAGAATTCACACTGGTGAAAAACCTTATGAATGTAAAGAATGTGGAAAAGCCTTTAGACAGTGTGCCCACCTGAGTCGACATCAGAGAATTCATACTTCTGACAAACTCCTTGAATGTAAAAAATGTGGGAAGATCTTTACATGTGGTGCAGATCTTCGAGTACATCAGAGAACTCATATTGGTGAGAAGCCCTATGAATGTAAGGAATGTGGGAAGGCCTTCAGAGTACGAGGACAACTTAATCTTCATCAAAGGATTCATACTGGTGAGAAACCCTATGAATGTAAGGAATGTGGGAAGACCTTTCGACAGTATGCACACCTCACACGACATCAGAGACTTAATATTGCTGAGAAGTGCTATGAATGTAAGGACTGTGGGCAGGCTTTTTTGTGTAGTACAGGCCTTAGAGTACATCACAAACTTCATACTGGTGAAAAACCCTATGAATGTAAGGAATGTGGAAAGGCCTTCAGAGTGCGCCAACAACTCACTCTCCATCAGAGAATTCATACAGGTGAGAAACCTTATGATTGTAAAGAATGTGGAAAGACGTTTAGTCGTGGTTATCATCTGACTCTCCATCAGAGAATTCATACTGGCGAGAAACCTTATGAATGTAAGGAATGTCGGAAGTTCTTCCGTCGTTATTCAGAACTTATTTCACATCAGGGTATTCATATTGGAGAGAAACCCTATGACTGTAAGGAATGTGGGAAGACCTTTAGACTGTTCTCGCAACTTACTCAACATCAGAGTATTCATTTTGGTGAGAAACCTTATAAATGTAAGGAATGTGAGAAGACTTTTAGACTGCTGTCACAACTTACTCAACATCAGAGTATTCATACTGGTGAGAAACCCTATGACTGTAAGGAATGTGGAAAGGCCTTTAGGCTTCATTCATCACTTATTCAACATCAGAGAATCCATTCTGGTGAAAAACCATACAAATGTAAGGAGTGTAAAAAGGCATTTAGACAACATTCACATCTTACTTACCATCAGCGAATTCATAATGTAACTAAATAATTTAGGAAAACCTTCCACTGTGAATTTTGTGTTAAGGGGCATTAGAAAATAAATTCTAGGGGAAAAGTTTTTGAATATAGGAATCCCTTAGTGCTTCATGCTTATAGCTAAACTAAATAGGTTTTATTTGAAGGAAATGATATATTAATTTCATGAATTTTTAGAAGCCTTTTCTCACCACTAAAAACCATGTTAAACTTTGGGAAATGTTTTCTAGAAAGAAACTCTTGTTAAAGGAGTGAATATAGAAAAACTTTTTAATCTTACCTATCATCACCTCTATTTTTCCCATCTGTATAATATACCTATGAAGGTTGCTAGGGCACTAACTCATTCCAAAAACTGATAACTGAGAGGAAAATCATTTAGCCTGCATTTCCTGTTGAACTGTATTTTAGAGCACTAGAAGTTGATAAGCTAAAGTTCTTTATTAGAGAATTTTGTAGCACTTAATGAAAGAATGGATCTAGGCATGATTCTTGGTGGAGGATAAGGCCAGTAGATACCCACTGATCAATTTTAATCTCAAAATAGGACAAAATATTTTATGCCCCCTAATGAGTTACAATAAGACATACACATGTTGCCAAAAAATATTGAACTTGAATCTAAACATCAAGAGCTAACTCCCAGTTTAGGGAAAATTCAGGGAACAGAAGAACAGGACACAAGAAGAAGCAATGAAACAAATTTAAAATGTGGGTAATTCTACAAGAGGAGTGGACCTGGCTTCTCAGTCAGTAAAATGGCATTGATAAAAGGGAGGTGGAACTCTTAAATTTTAAGAGTCTGAAGAAATGTATATCAATCAAATGTAGTGAATTAGATCACAAGTTGAACAAACATGTAAAAAGGACATTTTTATGACAATTGGGGAACGGAATATTGACAGATAATAAATACATGTTTTTGTTAGGTGTTTTAATAGCATCGTGGTTATATAAAAATGTTAGAGATAAGTTTATACATATAAGATGGCATGATGTCTGGAACTTTTAAAAAATGCTCAAGCAAAAGAACAATAAGGATGGATAACTTAAGTTTGTGAAAGTGATGGTAAGATAAGTCTTGAGTACGTGGTTTTTGTTTATTTTGTTTTTACTATTTACTTTTATGTATTTGAATTTTTCCATAATATTATTTTAAAGATAAATTAGCTATGTAATTATAACCAAATTGAAGTAAATGATTTTTTAAATGACTACATATCAAAATTTTTGGATGTTGTCAAAGTTCTGCACATTGAGATATTAAATATGCTATACCATATTTGGGAAATACAGATGGAAGATCCAAATTTTACCTAGTTCACTTATTGCTACCTCTGTTATCATGCCTGTCCCATGGTACTTCATATATTTAAAGAACGAGTTTGAAAAGCAATTACTACAACTGACTATGGAAATTAATGGAGTAGGCCTTCATTGTCGAATAAGATAGGTGCCAGCAACATGTTGAGCACTCAAAACTGAGCACTTGAATTGTGGCTAGTTCGAATTAAAATGGTGTTCGGTGTAAAGTACACATGAGGTTTTGAAGATTTAGTTTTTAAAAAAGGATGTAATGTATATTCTGTTTCTCCCAGCATTCCTCTTTTGGGATATTCAGTGGGATATTCAGAACCCAATTTAAGTGTCTTTCTGCTTGCAAGTAGCATGTTTGCATACTGAAGTCTTGGTTCTACCCTGAATCATGCTGTTTTTCCCCCACTTCATGAAAGGTAGCCTGTGTTTATAGCTGACCAGTTTTCCCAGACTGTTTCTAGCCTGTAGATGTCTTGGGATCCCAAGGCCCTTTCATTTGTACTGTTTCTGTACCATTAAGTTCAAGCTTGCAGTGCTTTAAGTAGTACAGTTGTCTTAAAAGCTGTATTTTCTTTTTTTTAATTTTTAAAAATTATTATTTTGAGAGAGAACATGCACATGAGCAGGGGAGGGGCAGAGAGAGAGGGAGAGAGAAAAACAAGCAGGCTGTGTGCTATTAGCATGGAGCCCATCGCAGGGCTCCATCTCAAGACTGAAATCATGACCTAAATTGAAGTCAAGATTTGGTTTCAATCTTCAACTTAGCCACTCAGGTGCCCCTAAAAACTGTATTTTCTATGAATTTTATTAGGGTTCAAAGAATCAACAGCTCTTCTCTATCAGGTTCCCTATGAGGCTGCATAGAAAAATGACTTTTAGCGGCGCCTGGGTGGCTCAGTCGGTTAAGCGTCCGACTTTGGCTCAGGTCATGATCTCATGGTTTGTGGGTTCGAGCCCTGCATTGGGCTCTGTGCTGACAGCCAGCTCAGAGCCTGGAGCCTGCTTCCCATTCTGTATCTCCCTTTCTCTCTGACCCTCCCCTGCACATGCTGTCTCTCTGTCTCAGAAATAAATAAAAAACATTAAAAAAAATTTTTTAATGACTTTTAAATTCTTAGAAGCCCTAGTATTTCACAGGAAAGGTAAAAGTTGGGTTCATCATTATTTGGAATACATTTTCAGGACAGCACCATATATTTGATTCCCCACCCCCACCCCCTTTAGGCCCATTATAACTTTGAATACCCTTTGCTATCTGGAAACACTGCCTTGGAAACTTCTATATTTCCTTTAAATTTATTTGAAATATTTAGCAATTGATATGAGTAAAATGTGATTTTTCTCTTTTACTCTGTTATGATGGGTTACCTTTATGGATTTTCAAATATTGATCAAGCCTCACATCACTGGAATAAACTCCCATTTGTTTGTAGTGCACACTTTGTATGTAGTACATAAATATATTGTTGGATTTGTTGTGATTGCTACAAAGTGCTAATATTTTCTTGAGGATTTTTTTTTTTTAGGATCTTTGCTTCTATATTCAGGAGGAATACCAGTTTGTAATTTGCTTTCATTTTAGTGTCTTTGTCTCATTTTGCTATCAAGGTGATTGTGGCCTCATAAAATGAGTTTCAAAGTATTGTCTCCCTTCCATTTCTGGTAGAGGTAATGTTGAATTGTTAATTATCCTTCAAATGTTTGGTAGGATTCTCTAGTGAAGCCATTTGGGCCTTGAAATGGACTGTCTCCTCAAAATTCATGTGTCCACATCCCAATCTCCCCCACCCCAATATGATGACATTAGGAGGTGGAACCTTGTGGAGGTAATTAAGTTATGATGGTGGATCCCTCCTGACTGAAATTAGTCCCCTTGTAAAAGGGCCAGAGAGCTCTCTTACACTTTTGTGCCACCTGAGGATACAAGAAAATGGCAGTCTTCATTCTGGAAGACAGTTCGTGACAGAAACTAACCATGCTGGCACACTGATGTCAGACTTCAGCCTCAAGGATTGTGAGAAATAAGTTGCTGTTGTTTATAAACCACCCAGTCTATTGTACTGTGTTATAGCAGTCTGAAATGAGTAAGACAGCTATTGGCACCAGAAGTGGGGTGCTAATGTAACAAATATCTAAAAATGTGGAAGTGGGTTTGGAATTTAATAATAGGTAAAAGCTGGAAGAGTTTTTAGATGCATGCAAAAAATAGGGACATTAATGGTGATTTTGGTGATATCTCAGAAAAGAGCTAAAGAGAAAACTTCAATCTTAGAGAATAAGTTATCAACAGAATGTAGAAATGAATGGTAAAGGCAGTAATGATGAAGTCTCAGGTGGAAGTGAGGAAGATGTTATTGGAAAACCAGAGGAGGCTCTTCCTTTTATAAAGTGACAAAGAACTTGGTAAAATTGCATTCCGTTCTAGTGTTTTGTGGAAAGTAGAACTTGTGAACAATGAAGTTGAAGATGCGGCTTGGCTCCTGGCTGATTACCAAAAAAAATAAATAAATAAAAAAGTAGAGAAATGACTAAAGAATGGAATTTTTGAAACAAGATTTGGGAAATTCGCAGCTGAATATAGTTAAGCAGTGTTAAAATGCTGTTAAAGTGAGGTCATTGATTGGGAAAGAATGGGATCCTGTAAGATGGTGTGGGGACAAGTAGGAAGGCTCTGACGTAGCTGTGACATTGAACTGCTGTATACGGAGTCTTCCTTATCATTAGAAGTAGCCTCATCAGCAGAAGTAGCCTTTCCATCCCTAGTGGCAGTAGCATCCTCAGCCACGGTGGCATCAGCCTTTCCATTTCCATCTGATGGAATTAACTATGCATTGTTTGAGGAAACTAATGACCTCCCTTGAAGCTGTGGCCATGCAAGACAATGCCACTTTCTCAGAAACCTCCACTACCACCCCTTTTGTTTCTAGACGTATCACTAGACTCCATCACAGCAGGCTCCTAAAAGTGCAGTGCAAAGTATGACCCATGAGGAGGGGTACTACAGTGCAAAAGAACTACTTGAGTTTCCTAACTTAGAAATCAAGGGAACAAGTATGGAAATGGATACTAAGTGTGTGGCATTGTAGTAGAGGGAACATGATTAGAAATTTGGGCAATGAAATCTGGGGGAGAGGTAGGTGGATAGACCGCTCTGAATTAGGGCAAAAAAATTGAAGATGCCTGTGTTGGATGGCCCATTCTGTGGCTAATAGCTTCTTTCCCCAGCCACTCCTGTCATCCAATGGGCGTGTGAACAAAGTGGCATGGTAGCAAGGGATGGAGGTTACACATGTGACCAGCAACATGGACTTCCACTCACCAAGGCTGACTTGGCTATGACCATTGCTGAGTGCTCAGTCTGCCAGAAGGAGAGACAATACTGAGCCCTCCAATATAACATCATTCCTTGGGGGTATTCAGCTAGCTACTGCAAGCAGGTTGATTACATTGGGTCATCCATCAAAGAAGAGGTAGCATTTTGACCTCACTGGACTAGAAACTTAACTCTGGATATGGATTTATTTTTCCTGGATATAAAGCTTTTGATAAAACTACCATCCATGGACTTAGAGAATGCCTTATCCACTGTCATGGTATTCCTCACAGCATTACTTTTCATAAATTATTACTAATTTGCTGATAGATTGCTGTTTGGCATGTAATTTTATATCATCCTGACTTGTGAAAGTGAAAA